TATTCGCACCACCTCTTCGTCATGATTGTACAACCCATCACCGAAAGATAAACGGCCTTTTCTAGGCGACAGATATGTGCATTTTTTACCCCCGGGAGAGATGCCTCTAGGCTTTTTACCCTTCCCCAGCTGGTCTCTCCCCCTATCCCCCCTAAATCCTCTTCAAGACCTTCCCAGATGGTTCCCTGGAGTCTTTCTCAAGACCTGCTCAGATGGTCCCCCCTGGAGTCCTCCTCGGGGCCTCCCCCAGGCGGGTGCAGCCATCACTAGGAGGCGCAGATGGCACTGCGTCAGGAGGCGGTGTTCCGAGCCTCAAATTACCACATATATTGCTCTTCACGAACCAAACTTATTGGAAAACTTGGCGAGGCTCTTGAAAATCGTTAAGACACGGGGGGGGGGGATGAGTATGGGATAAGAGAGGGGTAAGATACGGCAAGGGGGTGTATATATATATATAGTGTGTGCTGTTTGGGAAGATACGACAACGTACCACTTACGGGTTATTCATGCCCGTGCACCTCTTGGGTGGCTTAATCAATCAATCAATCGATACGACAACGGGTAGTGGCGGTAGGGAAGCTACAGGAGGGATAGTATGGGAAGTTCGGAAGCTACTGCAAGGAGTGTTTGGGTTGGGTAGGCAAGAAAGATGAGGCGCGGTGTAGCGAGGGATAGGGAAGATGAGGCAAGGGGGTGGCGCGGGGATATAGAAGATACAGAAGGGATGATAAAGAAAGTGGGTAATCAGGAACGTGGATGATAAAGAAAGTGGGTTATCAGGAACGTGGATGATAAAGAAAGTGGGTTATCAGGAACGTGGATGATAAAGAAAGTGGGTTATCAGGAACGTGGATGATAAAGAAAGTGGGTAATCAGGAACGTGGATGATAAAGAAAGTGGGTTATCAGGAACGTGGATGATAAAGAAAGTGGGTAATCAGGAACGTGGATGATAAAGAAAGTGGGTTATCAGGAACGTGGATGATAAGACACGTGGGGGTCAACGAACAGAAGATACAAGGAAAGTGGGGCACATAACGTGAGAGGAATGAACCGGAGCTTAAAGAAAAAAAATACGTGTTGAGGGTAATGCCCACTAAGGGGCAAGGAGGAGGAGGAGGAGAGTGGTTAAGGGAAAGGAAGGAAGGAAGGAAGAGATGGGTATAGGCACGGCAGGTAATATGCTGGGGGAAAATCAATAATGGGTAAGCTACAGGTAGGAGGTAAGTAGGGTTCGAAGAGGTAATGGATTAGATAATGGGTTGGGGGATCGAGGCAGTAATGTTCTGTGGGCGAGGCAACGGAGAGAGGGAGTGGTAACGCACCAGGCGTTAATCAGGTTCACCAGGAGTTAATCAGGATCACCAGGAGTTAATCAAGATCACTAGGCGTCAATTAGGATCACCAGGAGTTAATCAGAATCACCAAGTGTTAATCAGGACCACCAGGAGTTAATCAGGACCACCAGAAGTTAATCAAGATCACCAGGAATTAATCAGAATCACCAAGTGTTAATCAGGACCACCAGGAGTTAATCAGGACCACCAGAAGTTAATCAAGATCACCAGGAATTAATCAGGGTCAAAAACTTTATCCGAAACATAATTCGCATAGCCATAAAGTATAAAGGAGCGTACAGCATAAACAAAGACATTGCAAGACAAGAGATTGATACAAAAATAACATACACAGAGGAAATACACAATGAGAGGTGTTATCTGATCCTCGGTGTATACTCACTGAAAGTTTTTTTTTACTCTACCCATGGACTATAGTATACCTGATGGCTGGTCAAGTAACCTGTTGTTGTTGGCCTTAAACCCCCCACCAGAGGTTGACAGGCGTTAAGTCCCAATACCAAACCTGTACACAGAAATAACATCACATGAGACCAGAAGGCATGACAGGATGTGCAGAATACCTCCGTTGAAGAGCAGTGATGCAATAGGTACTCTGAGAGAGAACTCTATCAACATCAGAGGCCCGAAGAGACTGTTCAACACGATTCCACTACACATAAGGGGCATAACTGGCCCACCCCTCACAGTGTTCATGAGAGAACTCGATAAGCACCTCCAAAGAATACCTAATCAACCAAGCTGTGACTCATACGTCAGGCTGCGAGCAGCCGCGTCCAACAGCCTGGTTGACTAGTCCAGCAACGAAGAGGCCTGGTCGACGACCGGGCCGCTGGGATGCTAAGCCCCGAAAACACTTCAAGGTAACCTCACGGTAAGGCATACGTCAATGGTTTAGCCCGGCAGGCAGCCTAGCCGAGGAAAGAATTTGATATAAACTTTGGGTTTGAAGAATTCGCTCCTTGTAATATGATCACATTAATTATTTATTGCTGGAAGCATTTTTCGTACCCTTCTGTGGTAATTATCATAATGAGCGTATACTGAGAACTCTTATTTAAATAATTTACTGACAGCACATAATTAAATGAGTTGATGAGCGCATACATTAATTACCGAGTCATTGAATACACTTGAGAATATATATACAGCAGAGTGTCTCATTAAATGTACACACACACACACTTGAAGTAATGTTGACCCATTATTGGATCAATATTATCGACTGTGATCCTAGGTTACTACACTAGCATGTGCTTGCTGGGCTTCTCATGATTCCCATATTGCTGTACAGGCAGTGTTAACCCACTGTGTTAAGTAAAGGAGATGTTCTGCATGAACAGCGAGAGTTCTTCGTGAACTCAGCCCATGTTCCACGCCTGTGACCACATGAAAGAAGTCGGGATTTGTATATGTTCTTTATTTACTTACAAATGAATACGTCCTTCACTAACTTTTCATTAACTCTTAATACAAATTCACGATAATCTCTTTTTGTTTATAAGTAAATACATTATCTCAGTAAACTTGTGCTTATTGATATCTTAATTGAGCCTTTACGTAAATCCCTTGTCCTCTGCATATCGTGCGGTCCTTTGCTACTAAAATAATCTTAGTCTGTCGATATAGGTATCCAAGCCTTCAGCCGTCACAATCCCTCTTCTAGGTTGATTACGAAGACCTGAAATCCTCAATCAAACGCTGTTGCTCATTGAATCTGGTCCAAGCTCCCTTTGAGTTGAATCGTACACATACTGATGCAAGGCTGTTTACCTAATATTATAGCGATTGCTCTGTTACGTTCCTCGCCAGGGCCTTATACATTTGCGAGATAATAATCTCGGTTGCAATCGGTAATATTCAACCTGACAAAGTTGGTTTAGTATTAAATCTACCCGAATCCTATTGGAACTCATAACTTGGCTTGGACTTAAGATCTATTTCGCAAGTGTCCGAGGCTTGGGCTGGACCTGAGACCTTGTCGTGTGAATTAGTGGATTCGTAGTAACGACTTTAGACCTTGTTGAGCCTTGCGCAGTGGCTCGCTGGGTGCCAGGAGTAACCCGAAACAAGACCTGCTTGAGGCCTCGGAACAGACTGAGACCAACGGGAGAGTCTGAGATAATTGGGAGGGTAGAGATGGCAGGGATAACAAGCAGTCATTATCTTGGTGACCAAACGAGGCACGGGGGAAGAGGGTGAAGGATGGAAGGGAGAGGAAGAAGGGATGGAAGGGAAAGGGAGAGAATACGCAGGTGAGGACAAAGAGGGGGGGGGGAAAGCATAAAAAAGAGGGGAGACATTATATTTTATATAGAACAGTACATAACTAGAGAGTATTAATATGAAACATACAATTAAGATATCAGTAAGAAATGGATTGTACTCGGCCTCGACAAGTTCCTCATTGAGTCCATTCCATTTATTTGCGGCTCTTAAATTGAACAAGTTCCTACTGACAAATGTGTGACTCACTGATGTCAACAGTTTCCAATTACGTCCGCTTGTTCTACTGTTCCTCACTTCTCAAATTTAGGTGCATCTCTATTTACTTTGCCCATTCCCCCCATAGAATCTCGTACGTTGTTATCATGTCTTCCCTATTACAGCTCTCCTCCAGTATGAAGTCCAGCTCCCGTAGTCTTTCCTCGTAGCTCGGTTCCCTCAGCTCAGGAACGAGCCTTGTTGAAATTCTTTGAATGGTTTCTAAAGTGTCAATGAGGGGACGAAATGGTAGGGAAAAGATTCAGGAGTAGCAAGGAAAGACCTTCATGTTGTGGATTGGCATAGAGGTGTGTGTGTGTGTGTGTGTGTGTGTGTGTGTGTGTGTGTGTGTGTGTGTGTGTGTGTGTGTGTGTGTGTGTGTGTGTGTGTGTTTACTAGTTTACTAGTTGTGTTTTTGCGGGGGTTGAGCTTTGCTCTTTCGGCCCTCCTCTCAACTGTCAATCAACTGTTTACTAACTACTTTTTTTCTTTTTTTTTTTTCACACCACACACACACACACCAGGAAGCAGCCCGTGACAGCTGACTAACTCCCAGGTACCTATTTACTGCTAGGTAACAGAGGCACTTAGGGTGAAAGAAACTTTGCCCATTTGTTTCTGCCTCGTGCGGGAATCGAACCGTGTGTGTGTGTGTGTGTGTGTGTGTGTGTGTGTGTGTGTGTGTGTGTGTGTGTGTGTGTGTGTGTGTAAGTGTCTGTTTGCTTCTCTCTCGCCCATTTACACAAGTGCAATATATGCACTTCACAGCAATACAAACAACTAAATGCAACAACAACTGTGGTGGTAGTGAGAGCGAGACGCCGACAGCAACAAGCAAACAACACAGCGAACACCAAAACAAACATTTCTCAGAGAACACAAACTCGCGCGCGCACGCATGCGAGCCCGAGAAACAAGCCGTGATTTGTGTGAGTTGTTTATTTACATACAAATAGCCATGTCCTTCCCTGAATTAGCCAGAAATTGCTTTAATAACTCGTTTTGCTTAATAGGTTCCAGCAGCGCGTCGGTCCACCAGCATTAGGTGGCCAGGACTACCGTCCACCAGCACTAGGTGGCCAGGACTACCGTCCACCAGCACTAGGTGGCCAGGACTAGTCCACCAATAGGTGGCCTTACCGTCCACCAGCACTAGGTGGCCAACTACCGTCCACCAGCACTAGGTGGCCAGGACTACCGTCCAGTAGCCCTAGGTGGCCAGGACTACCGTCCACCAGTACTAGGTGGCCAGGACTACCGTCCACCAGCACTAGGTGGCCAGGACTACCGTCCACCAGCACTAGGTGGCCAGGACTACCGTCCACCAGCACTAGGTGGCCAGGACTACCGTCCAGTAGCACTAGGTGGCCAGGACTACCGTCCAGTAGCACTAGGTGGCCAGGACTACCGTCCACCAGCATTAGGTGGCCAGGACTACCGTCCACCAGCACTAGGTGGCCAGGACTACCGTCCACCAGCACTAGGTGGCCAGGACTACCGTCCACCAGCACTAGGTGGCCAGGACTACCGTCCACCAGCACTAGGTGGCCAGGACTACCGTCCACCAGTACTAGGTGGCCAGGACTACCGTCCAGTAGCACTAGGTGGCCAGGACTACCGTCCAGTAGCACTAGGTGGCCAGGACTACCGTCCAGTAGCACTAGGTGGCCAGGACTACCGTCCACCAGTACTAGGTGGCCAGGACTACCGCCCAGTACCACTAAGTGGCCAGGACTACCGTCCAGTAGCCCTAGATGGCCAGGACTACCGTCCACCAGTACTAGGTGGCCAGGACTACCGTCCACGAGCATTAGGTGGCCAGGACTACCGTCCACCAGTACTAGGTGGCCAGGACTACCGTCCACCAGCACTAGGTGGCCAGGACTACCGTCCACCAGTACTAGGTGGCCAGGACTACCGCCCAGTACCACTAAGTGGCCAGGACTACCGTCCAGTAGCCCTAGATGGCCAGGACTACCGTAGTGGCCAGGACTACCGTCCACCAGTACTAGGTGGCCAGGACTACCGTCCACCAGCACTAGGTGGCCAGGACTACCGCCCAGTACCACTAGGTGGCCAGGACTACCGTCCACCAGCCCTAGGTGGCCAGGACTACCGTCCACCAGCCCTAGGTGGCCAGGACTACCGTCCACCAGCCCTAGGTGGCCAGGACTACCGTCCACCAGCACTAGGTGGCCAGGACTACCGTCCACCAGCCCTAGGTGGCCAGGACTACCGTCCACCAGCCCTAGGTGGCCAGGACTACCGTCCACCAGCACTAGGTGGCCAGGACTACCGCCCAGTACCACTAAGTGGCCAGGACTACCGTCCAGTAGCCCTAGATGGCCAGGACTACCGTCCACCAGCCCTAGATGGCCAGGACTACCGTCCACCAGCCCTAGGTGGCCAGGACTACCGTCCAGTAGACTACTAGCACTAGTGGCCAGGACTACCGTCCACCAGCACTAGGTGGCCAGGACTACCATCCACCAGCACTAGGTGGCCAGGGCCAGGACTACCGTCCACCAGCACTAGGTGGCCAGGACTACCGTCCACCAGCACTAGGTGGCCAGGACTACCGTCCAGTACCACTAAGTGGCCAGGACTACCGTCCAGTAGCCCTAGATGGCCAGGACTACCGTCCACCAGCCCTAGGTGGCCAGGACTACCGTCCACCAGCCCTAGGTGGCCAGGACTACCGTCCACCAGCCCTAGGTGGCCAGGACTAGGGACCAATTGCTTCAATCCTGGGAAAATTGCTTGAAGCAATAACAAAAAATGCCATTCGTTCTCACCATATATTTTGAAATCTTAGAAATCAATTCCAAACTTATAACGCAGCTTTACAAAAGGATTATCTTGTTTGAAATTTGAAATACAAAGTACAAAGCTGTATATAGGTAAAGTAATCATCAGGAGAAACCGCTGTCATTATGACTATATAGCACTTGGAAGGGATATGAGAACAGGATAAGAGCTGGGATATGAGGACAGGATAAGAGCTGGGATATGAGGACAGGATAAGAGCTGGGATATGAGGACAGGATAAGAACTGGGATATGAGGACAGGATAAGAACTGGGATATAAGGACAGGATAAGAACTGGGATATGAGGACAGGATAAGAGCTGGAATATGATGACAGGATAAGAGCTGGGATATGATGACAGGATAAGAGCTGGGATATGAGGACAGGATAAGAGCTGGAATATGTAGACATGATGAGAGCTGGGATATGAGGACAGGGGTGAAGGAATGATGCCCAGTTACTTGGGCCATTGGGGATCGAATGTCGACCTGCAAGAAGCGAGGCCGTTCCTCCATTAACCAGGCCAAATGCTATTGCAAAGAAATTCAAGCAACAGAATTTCAGATCAGAACTACGCTGTTTGTTTATGAAAAGCACTTTGTCGGAACAAACAATGCAAGGTTCAGTTTTAAAGAAGAGAACAATTTACATTTATTATTAAGTATATGAATGATAAGCAACAACAATCATAAAGACATTGATCCATGTATGCGGGAAAACCACATTTGAAGAATTAGAGAATGCTTCACTAATTCTTAATTCGCCTTCATCAGAGCAAGATAGAGAATGCTTAGATAGCACTCTCTATTTTGCTCTGATGAAGGCGAATTGAGCCGAAAACGCGTTCAGTATTCTCTAATTCTTCAAATGTGGAGTTTTCCGGATATGAATGGTAATTAACTACCGTGCATCTAGCTGAGTGCAGTTTTCATCTAGGTAAGTACAACTGGGCGAGTGTATATGAGTGAGCGCACTCACACACACACACACACTCATCAACATCATGACTCACCATAACACACTTCTCATTTACTCCGTATTCACAGTCTGGCGCCGCACACCCCACACAATATCACCTTTGCCCATCCGTTACAACAACACACACACACACGACCAGTAGCTGCAATACACACTCATCAAGTACAATATACTCGGTACACATACACACTCACCAAGCACTTGCTGCACACTCATTAAACACTTCCCCCCCCCACACACACACACACACACTAACCACCATACAATTTAACACTAATCCCTCTCGGTCCCCCCACACACACCCTCAGGTACTCACACTCCCAAGAGACAAGACACACACACATCATGTTGCATGACCTGCCGACATTACGGAGTTTAATGTACTTTTGGCAGCGACGGCTGGCACCGCAATTTCAACAAACTCGTTCAGCATTATATGGTAGGCTTCGGGCCCGGCCAGTAGCCTAGCCTCTCGTAGGCGCTCACAACGCCCGTTGCTTCCTACCCTAAATAGTGGTTATTTACCTAATAATATTGGTAAAACCAGAAATAATAATAGTAATAATAGTCGGGGCAACAAATAGGAGCTGCCTCGCATAGGCCAATAGGCCTTATGTACTTTTTTGGTTTGGTGTTGGCTTATTAACCGTGGAAGTGCTATTACGGTCTCCGCGAAAGCTGACTAATCGCCCAGCAAATATACTTTACTCTGACAAAATTTAGGACAAGAATATACTGTCATAGTATATTCACAGAGAAGCGGAGTATACCTCGCGATAAAATTCCATAAGGTAAATTCCCATAATAAATAATTCCATTAATAAAATAACCCCTGTGCTTATATATTTCATATAATACAATAATTAATATAATAAAATCTTTAGATGCAAAATTATAATATTTCATTATGTGTAACTGTATCCTTGTTATTCACTTTGTAAAAAGTCCTTCCTTTTGGAATGTAAGTTATCGTAAATAATTAGAGAACATCTATAGGGAGACCGATAATATTTCTTGTTGTAAATTTCCGTTATCATCAGATAATATTATAGTAACTTGTTCTAAATGTACTCACGGAAATAATATCAGATTTGAAGGTTATATATATATATATATATATATATATATATATTTTCACTAAAATTCTGCGGACTCAGTGTCGGAATTTTTCATCAGAGTTGTTTACTAAGTCAAATTTTCTTTCCTCCCAGTGATTAAAGAGGGAGAGAGGGGCAAGTATGGGGGGAGTGGGGGGGGAGCTGCCAAGGAGGGGGTAAAGAGGGAGCTCAGGAAGATGCTGGGTGTTGGGGAAGGGGGACAATGTGGGATGGGAAGGCGGGAGGAAAGGAAGAGGATGGAGCAGGAAATTAGAAGGAAATGGTGTGTTTGGATGAGAAGAGGTGAAGAAGGATTGGCAAGGGAGATAGAAGAGTGAGTAGGAGGAAGACTGAAGGAGAGTTCCACAAGAATAGTCGAGAATGAGGTAAAGCTAATTTGAAGTAAAGAAAAGGAAAAGGATAATGGAGAGTGCAGGAATGAATATTAGGGGAAGGGTGGCAGGGGGTACCCATCTAAAACAATCACATTACCAACAGTATCAACCCAATACCAACAACAACAGCCACACACACCACAAATTACAGAAAGCCAACTGCAATAAAAGTCTACATAAAAATGTTCCGTTTGTCAAATCATACTTCTCTTAACATATATCAAAACAATGGACAAAAAAACGACCTCAAATTCCATATTCATAAAATTCCTCTAATTCAGTTTTCACGCAGAAATTGCTAGAAATCAGCTGGAAAGAGGAATTTGGTGAAGTCGTCACGGGATACGAGGCTAGAATTATTAGACACCCACTCCTATTGGTCCAAGGGAGTCACGTGACAGTTTCTGGGCCGCAGCGCTCATTGGCTGGAGCCGAATATCGCGCCCCGTCATCAACAAATAAGCGACTGGTCTCAGTCAGGATCCGGGGTGCATGACAGGAGGAACGCTGGTGTGTTTGTGGCCTGTTAGCCGTGCTTTACGACCTGACGCACCAGAATTAAACCCAATACCCCGCGCGGAATTAGAGTGCCGAGGACGCTAAATTGATTATAATTTGCGAAGGGAGGGAGGAGCCCCCCACAAAAAAAAACCCACGTCAAATATCATGGATCTAGGTCTTTAAGGATCACAGTTAAAGAGCACGGGCTAATATCCCTATGATTGTAGCGACTCGAAGCGTCAACAACGTCGGGGTTTATACATGAGGGTTTGTTTATATAGAGTGATGGCGTGAGGTAATGTGTGTGGTGGGTGGGGCGTCGAGGGAGGGCTGGAATGTTGGGGTTGGAGAAGCATGTGTGGGGCCTGGAGAAACAGTAAGGGGGGGAATGATTGTGTTGGAATTGGTGGAGACGTACATGTGACGTAATCTGGCAAATACATCGTAAGTCAATGTCGAATATATATATATATGTCGTACCTAATAGCCAGAACGCACTTCTCAGCCTACTATTCAAGGCCCGATTTGCCTAATAAGCCAAGTTTTCATGAATTAATGTTTTTTCGTCTACCTAACCTACCTAACCTAACCTAACCTAGCTTTTTTTGGCTACCTAACCTAACCTTACCTATAAATATAGGTTAGGTTAGGTTAGGTAGGGTTGGTTAGGTTCGGTCATATATCTACGTTAATTTTAACTCCAATAACAAAAAATTGACCTCATACATAGAGAAAAGGGTTGCTTTATCATTTCATAAGAAAAAAATTATAGTAAATATATTAATTCAGGAAAACGTGGCTTATTAGGCAAATCGGGCCTTGAATAGTAGGCTGAGAAGTGAGTTCTGGCTACTAGGTACGACATATATATATATATATATATATATATATATATATATATATATATATATATATATATATATATATATATATATATATATTAGTTAATTTATTATGCACCCCATAACCTTTCTGTGGGTGGTAGTGGAAAAGGTTACAGAGACACGAAATGGGTTTAGGGACTGAATCAAATAATTTATTTAGCTAAATTAGTCTTGATAAGCTAGTTATATTCTTTAGTGCATATCACACTTATTTTTAAAGCATAATGAGTTCAAAATATATTTGGGACAAGCGCATAAATACAAACAAATGTATACCTACACGAGTTAACAAATGGAAGGCATTAAACAGTGATGTGGTGGAGGCTGACTCCATACACAGTTTCAAATGTAGATATGATAGAGCCCAATAGGCTCAAGAATCTGTACACCAGTTGATTGACGGTTGAGAGGCGGGACCAAAGAGCGAAGGCCAACATAACAAATGCCTTTAGATATCTGAGCAAGGAATCATTCAGGACCCTATATCCCACATACGTTAGACCAATCCTGGTCCTTTACCTAATCAAAAACAAAATGAAGTGGGAGGAAGTTAAGAGGCATGCCACCCGACTAATGCCACCTAGAGCTGAGAGATATGAGTTACGAGGAAAGACAAAATAAATTGAGCCTCACATTTCTGGAAGACAGAGAATTTAGGAAAAATAATGGAGCAAAGACATACCATTTAGCTTGGGTGGTACTCGAACTAGGGAATACAGGAGGAAACTGAAGACTCATATAACCCATACGAAGCACAAGTATCAGAATAGT